TTATTGTTTCTAATAATTTGGCAGGTTAAGAGTTTTCTCTATGGAATTATATATCTGTGAGTAATAGTTTCAACCCTCTCTTTCAAACATTAGACCTTTAATTTCTTTTTCCCCCCAGCTTTACTGAGACATGAGAAGTAAAAATTGTACATATTTAAGGTATACAATATGGTGTTTTGATATTTGTATACATTGTGAAATGATTACCACAAGCCTCTCTCGGGCTTATTTCACTTAGCATAATGTCCTCCGTATTTGTTCTGTCTAGTCAAGTCCAGTGCTGAAGTTCCCACAAAAGTGGCAGCAGAGAAGTTCTTGCAAGGGACTGACCAAACCATCCTAACATGGAGAGAGTAGGGATTCCAAAGAAAGAAGCATTAAATGCCAAAATGATCAGTCTAAAGCACTAATCAGGGGAACTTACGTGCAGAGTGCATCAGCAGTCCTCATGATGGACAGTGAGAAAAAAGATGTTCTACCTAGGTATGTCAACAAAGAGGTTGGGTTATAAAGCTTATATGGGGGTTTAAGGAGTTTAGCTCAGGGCCAAGGCTATTTTCTACATATTTAGCAATTTGTTGACGTTTCAGTGTTTTGGACAACAACCTAAACAAATATATCAGTTCATGGAGACGTTCAAGGTCCCAGCTTGGGTTCAAGCCCGTAGGAGAAAATATGCAGCTGGCCAGGCCATAGAATGGTCAAGGCACTCTGTCCCTGAGTCAGAACAAAGAAAGAAAGGGGAAACTGGGGACCCTACAAGGTTCATCCATGTTGTCACAAATGACAGCATTTCCTTCTTTAAATTTTTTTAGAGACAGTGTCTTACTATGTTGCCCAGGCTGGATTCATCTCCTAGGCTCAAGTGATCCTCCCACCTCAGCCTCTCAAGTAATTAAGACTACAGGTGTGAGCCACAACACCTGGCTATTTTTTTTTTAATTTTTTGTACAGATGAGGTCTCACTAGGTTGCCAAGACTGAACTCAAACTCCTGAGCTCAAGCAGTCCTCCCGCTTCAGCTTCCCAAACTGCTGGGATTACAGGCGTGAGCCACCATTCCTGGTGGATTTCCTTCTGTTTAAGGCTGAATAATATTTCACTGTGTGTGTTTATCACATTTTCTGTGTCCATTTATCCATTGATGGAAACTTTGATTTCAAATCTTGGCTATTGTCAGTAGTGTGGCAGTGAATAGTGGAGTGCAGATATATCTTTGACTATGTCCTTTTGTTTCACTTTGAAGAACTTTCCTTAGCGTTTGTAAGGCAGGTCTAGTGGTGATGAACTCCCTCAGCTTTTGTTTGTCTGGGAAAGTCTTTATATCTCCTTGATATGTGAAGAATAGCTTTGCTGGAGTTGGCAGTTTTTATTGTTGTTGTTTTCTTTCAGCACTTTAAATATATCATCTTAGTCTCTCCTAGCCTACAGGGTTTCTGCTGGGAAATTCACTCATAGTGTTATGGAGTTTCTTTGGATGTGACAAGTCTTTTTCTTTTGCTCCTTTCAAAATTCTCTCTTTGGGAATTGGAGTACAATGTGTCTTGGTAAAAATCTCTTTAACTATTTGGGTTTTGGGGGGAATTAATGGACCTGGATGTTCGTTTCCTTCTCCAGATTTGGGAAGCTCTCTCTCATTATTTCTTGAAATATTATTTCTGTCCCTTTATCTTTCTCTTCTTCTGGGAATCCCATAATACATACATTGGTTCACTGGATGGTATCCCACAAGTCCCATGGGCTTTCTTCATTCTTTTCCACTATTTTTTCTTTTTGTTTCCCTGGCTGAATAATTTCAGATGTCCTGTTTTTGAGCTCACAGGTTTTTTTCTTCTGTTTGATGGAATCTGCTATTGAAGGTGTCTATGGAATTTTTTCAGTTCAGTCATTGTGTGTTTCAGCTCCAGAATTTGTTTGGTTCTTTTTATGGTTTCTATCTCTGTTGAACATCTCACTCATTTTCTTTATGTCTTGTTTTCCTGATTTTGCTTAGTTGTCTGTGTTCTCTTGTAGCTCACTGATCTACTTTAAAATTATTATTTTTAATTTCTTGTCAGGCAGTTCATAGATCTGTTTCTTTAGAGTTAGTTACTGTGCTTTATTTTGTTCCTTCGGTGGTGGTGTCATGTTTTCCTGATTATTCTTGATCCTCATTGCCTTGTGTTGATGTCTGTGTATTTGAAAAAGTAGGCGTCTCTTCCAGTCTTTGCACACTGGCTTCAGCAAGGAAAGCCCTTCACCAGTCAGCTTGTCCAGAGATTCTGGGCAGGCCAGCTGGTGGGGTCTATGAGAAGGCTTATTGCTGGAGTCCCTGGACAGCATGGCCTAGTGTCTGAATCAGTGGGCAGGCAGGCCTGGTGCCTGGATCTAAAGGGACCAGCCAGAGACTGGGGTCCACTGGATGTATATGGTATCATTTTTCTCTCTCTCTGTCTCTGTCTGTGTCTTTGTCTCTGTCTCCACCACCCCACTCCAACTTTTAGCACAGTTTTGGATAGAAAAAGTGATAGTATAAATCTTTATCTTGTTACTTATTTTATTTATTTATTTATTTGAGACAGCATCTTGCTCTGCCACCCAGGCTGGAGTGCACTGGTGTGATCACAGCTCATTGCAGCCTTGAACTCCTGGGCTCAAGCAATCCTCCCACCTCAGCGACCTGAGTAGCTGGGACTACAAGTGCATGCCACCACACCTGCCTAAATTTGTGTATTTTTTGTAGAAACAGGGTCTCACTATGTTGCCCAGTCTGGTTTTGAACTCCTGGGCTCAAGCAATCCTCCTGCCTCAGCTTCCCACCATGCCCAGCCCTGATTACATAGTTAAGAGGAATGCTTCTGACATTTCCCTATCAAGAATGATGTTTTCTATAAAGGTATGTTAGATACTCTTTAATAAATTAAGGAAAATCGTTTCTACTTTTAATTGTTTTATCATCACAAAATGCTTTCTCTGCATCTATTGAGATAATAATTGGTTTTCTCCTTGTGATATTGTGAAGTATATATTTGGTCTTTATTCTTGTTTCCTGACATACAGCCCCTAAAACCCTTGAAATCTCTGGAGGGGATTTCATGGTAAGGGGGTTATAATCATAATTGATAAGGGGATGCTTTGTATGCTAGTGAGATGACTAGTGGCTGTCAGCTCATAGGTAGCTTCAGGATGGGGGCTGGTCACAGGAAAGACCAAGGCATTATTAGAGAATTGGGATATTTAGCCCACCTCCCAACATCCGAGGAGGGGAGAGAAGCTGAAGCTCAAGTTGATCACCAATGGCTAATGATTTAATCAGTCATGTGTATGTAATGAAGCTTCCATAAAAACCCAAGAGGACTGGGTTTAGAGAGCTTCCAGATAGGATTCCTGGAAATTGGCAGGCCTGGAGAGAGCATGGAAGCCCCATGCTCCTTCTCTCATACCTCATCCTATGCATCTCTTTCATCTGGCTGTTATCTATATCCTTTGTAATATCTTTTGTAATAAATGGATAAATGTAAGTAAAGTGTTTCCCTGAGCTGAGTGAGCTGTTCTAGCAAATTAATCAAACCCCAGGAGGGAGTCATGGGAACCCTCAATTTATAGCCAATTGGTCAGAAACTCAGGTTTCTGACAGTGTAAGGCACAATCTATGCTTGTAACTTGCATCCAAAGGAGAGGAGTCTTGTAGGACTGATCTCTCAACCTATGGGTAGAGAACTCCAGGTAGATAATGTCAGAATCAAATAGAACTAAAAGACACTCAGATGTTATCTGCTGCAGAACTGATTGCTTGCTTGATGTGTGGTTATAAACCCCCACAGACCTGGAGTCACAGAAGTGTTCTGTGTTGTAAGGATATAGTAGGAGAAACTGAGTTTGTTTTTTTCCATATCAAGTACCTCTTTAATCTGTAATGTGAAGAATTGTTTCTCTAATATTAAACCATTCTCTTAGCAATGGAAAATTCTGCTTACAAAAAATATATAATATATATTAAACCATTCTTGCACCCCTGGATTAGCCTGACTTTGTTATTATATATTACCTTTTTAAAATATCTCACTGATTTGGTTTGCTAATACTTTAATATTTTTACATATAGGCTCCAGAGTGAGATTGTCTTTTACCTCATAAGTGAGTTGGGCTTATTTTCTCTTTTTCTATTTTCTGTAAGAGTTTTTATAAGATTGGAATAAACTGTTTCTTAAAAAGTTGGTAGAATTCACTGTCTTACTGCATTTCTGCTGCTGTAACAAAATACCTGACACTGGGTAATTTACGAAGAAAAGAAATTTATTTTCTCACAGTTCTGGAAGCTGGAAAGTCCAAGATCAAGGTGCCAGCAGGTTTGGTGTCTGGTGAGGACCTAGTCTCTGCTTTCAAGTTAGCGCCTTGTTGTTGCCTCCTTCAGGGGATGAACACTATGTCCTCACATGGTAGAAGAGATGAAAGGGCAAAAGGAACTGACCAGTTCTTTGGGCCCTTTTATAAAGTCACTAATCCCATTCATGAGGACTCCACTTCATGAATTAATCATTAGCTAAAGGGGTTACCTCTTTGTTTTATTATCCTCCCTGTTTTGACACAGACGAATTACCTACCTCTTAATACTATTATATTGGTGAGACTGCTTCAACTTGAAACAACATGAGTTTTAGGGGACATTCGGATCATATAAATTATGTAATCCTGATGGCTTCATTGTAAGAAGATTTTTACTAACTTCAATTTCTTTACTCGTCATAGGACTTATTTCTTCTTAAAGTATGTTTTCCTGAGATTTTGTTCATCTAAGTTTTAAAAACTTTTTTTTTCATCTATGGTTCATCTGTAGTTATGCCCCCTCTGCATTACTAATATTTTTTTCTCCCTCTCTCTTCTCCCCTCCCCCCTGCCCCCTGTAGTTTGTCAATTTTATTAGTTTCTTCCCTATATAACAAGCTTTTGGTATTGATCCCCTCTATCGTACTTTTTAAAATTATTTTTTAAAATACCATTTTATTTTGTTTTTATAGATAGTATCTCACTGTGTTATCCAGACTGGACTCAAATTTCTGAGCTCCAGTGATCCTCTTGCCTCAGCCTCCGAAGTAGTCAGGACTACAGGTATACACTACTGTGCTTGGCTATTGTATGTTCTTGATTGTTGCTTTAATAATTTTTATATGCTTCCTTTTACTTTCTTTGAGTTCATTCTTTATTTTCTACTGTCATCAGTTGGGTGCTTAATTATGTCATTTTCAGGATTTAATTTCCAATATAAGCATACAAGACTATATAAGTTTACCTTGAATTACCACTACTATTTTGTTTCCCAAGTGCTGATACTTAGTATTTTTAACATTGTTCACTTCTAAATAATTTTTACACTTTTATTACAGTTTCATCTTGGACTCAAGTATTGTTTCAGGAGTATGTTAAATTAAATTTTGAGATAATTATAGATTCACATGCAACTGTAAGAAATAATAGAAAGAGATCCTATGTACACTTTACCCAGTTTCTCCCAATTTGTAAAATTTCTTCTAATTGTAAAACTATAGAAAATATCACAATCAAGATATTGACATTAATGAGAAATCAGCTGTTAGTTTTACCAAGGATCCGTTTTATGTGATGAATTACTTCTCTGTCACTGCTTTCAAGATTCCCTTTGTCCTTTGCTTTCAACAATTTGACTATAATGTGTCTAGGGGCAAATCTTTTTGAGTTTATCTTATTTTGAGTTTGCTGAACTTCTTAAATGTGTCATGTTTTTCACAAATTTGAGGAGTTTGGGCCTTTTTTTTTCCAGTATTATTTTTAGGTCACTCTCCTGTGCTTCTTTGATTTCCTTTATATGTATGATAGTACACTTCATGGTGTTTCACAGATCTCTGAAGTTCTGTTCATTTTCTTTATTCTTTTTCTCTCTGTTTTTCATATTGGGGCATCTCAATTGACCTTTCTTCCAGTTTGCTAATACTTCTTTCTGCTAGCTTGAATCTACTATTGAGCTCTTCTAGTGAATTTTTCATTTCAGTTATTGTACTTTTCAGCTCTGGAATTTCTGCTTGGTCCTTGTTTATAGTTTTATCTTTTTATCAATATTTTCTTTATAGTGAGACATTATTCTCATGCTCTTCTTTAATTCTGTAGATATAGTTTTCTTTAATTGAACATCTTTATACTATCCTATTTAAAGTCTTTGTCTACTAAATCCAACATCAGGGCTTCCTGACAGTTTCTATTCATTGCTTCCCCTGACCCAGCCCTCACTGTGTATAGGTTATTTTTCCTGTTTCTTTGCATATCTCATACACTTTTATTTAAAACTGGATGTTTTAAATAATAAAATGTGACAACTCTGGAAATCAGATTCCCCCTCCTCCCCAGAATTTACTGTTGCAATTGCTCTTGCTTCTGTTTGTCTAGTTACTTTCCTAAATTAATTCTGTAAAGTCTGTGTTCTTTATAACGTTTGGCCACTATAGCCTCTGCTTGTTTAGCTTAGTGATCAGGTAATAAATGGACAGATATTTTCTTAAATGCTTTGAATTGATAAGTCTCCCAGCCTTTGCCAAAGGTCTCTGTGTGTGTTGGGATATATCCATAAAGCTCTACCACACACTAGACAACTCTGCTTTAGTCTTTACTTCTGCTTGTGCAGAACCTCAAGGTCTGCCAGTGGTTAGAGATTAAGGTCTTCTCAAACCTTTCCTGGGTACACACATAGTTCTGGGCAGGAATACAACCTGTACATGCGTGTGGTCACCTGTATATGCATGTGGTTGTCTACATTTCCAGGAATCTGATTAAGTTTTCCAAACACACTTATAAATTTCTTAATCCAGCTGGGCCCAGTGGCTCATGCTTGTAATCTCAGCACTTTGGGAAGCCAAGGTGGGCAGATAATTTGAGGCCAGGAGTTCGAGACCAGCCTGGTCAACATGGCGAAACCCTGTCTCTACTAAAAATACAGTAATTAGCTGAGTATGGTGGTGCATGCCTGTAATCCCAGCTACTCAGGAGGCTGAGGCAGGAGAATCACTTGAACTCAGAAGGCAGAGGTTTGCAGTGAGCAGAGATCGTGCCACTGCACTCTAGCCTGGGCAACAGAGCAAGACTCCATCTCAAAAAAAAAATCTTATTCCTCAGTTTTTCCTTATAATCTTTTCTTCCCGCAACTGTTATCACCTCAGGCACCCGAGATGTCAAACAGTTGCCACTAATCGTTTTCAATAAATACTCCAAAGAAAAGGCTGTTCACAGTGAATTAACCCTGAGTCAGTTCCAATAAAAACCAACCCTGAGAGCCCCTGTGGTTTCTGGGAAACTGCCAGACAAGTCAAAGATTAACTCATGGAAGATGAGCATTTAGGGGAACTCCAAGCCCATTCTGCCCCCTTCAGTGACTGCTAGGTTGCTGATTTTCAGGGTTACCATGATTGAAGATTGTTGGTTTCCAAGGCTACTGTGGAACTGCAGAAAGAGGGATGGCAATAGGACAAGTTAAAATGCCATCAAGCTTGCTCTTCTTATGAGATTTAGCCATTTGTGTGTGTGTGTGTGTGTGAGAGAGAGAGAGAGAGAGAGAGAGAAAATGCTCCTCAGACTTTTGTGAGCCTTTGGTTAATTTTCAGAGTTCTAAAAATACTGATTTTAATAATTTTTTTGCCAGTGCTCTCATTGCTTTTCTGGAGAAATCAGTTTTTGGCAATCCTTACTCCACCATTCTAAATGTGGCTCCAATCTTATTGACATTAATGCAGTCAAGATACAGAACAATTCCATCACCACAAGGATCTCTTCTTGTGTTGTTCTTTTACAGCCACTTGCATTTCCTTCCTATAACTGTCTTAAGCCCTGGCAACCACTAATCTGTTCTCTATTTCTATAATTTTGTTATTTCAAGAATTGTATAAATGGAACCTTGCAATATATAACCTTTTGGGATTTTTTTTCACTCAGCATCATTCCCTGGAGGTTTATCCAGATTATTGCCTTTATCAATAATTTGTTACTATTGCTAAGGAATAATCCATAATATGGATGTACCACTCTTTATTCACCCACTGAAGAACATCTGAGTTGTTTCTAGTTTAAGGATTTACAGATAAAGCTGCTGTGAATATTCATATACAAGTTACTAGGTGAATATAAGTCTTTATTTCTCTGAGATAGATGCCTAGGGGTGTAATTGTTGAGTCATATTTCATTTAGTTTGTTTTTTTTTTTAAGAAACTGCCAATCTGTTTTTCAATTCAGCTCTACTATTTTACATTCCCACCAGCAATGTATGAATGATTTTGTTTCTCTGCATACTTGCCAGTATTTGATGTTGTCAAAATTTTTTATTTTAACTAGAGAGAGTATATGCTGATATTTTATTGTGGCTTTAATTTGCATTTCCCTAATGGCTAATGATATTAAACATCTTTATATGTGCTCATTTGGCATCTAATTGGATTATTTTTTACTGTTGAGTTTTGAGAGTTCTTTTGAGAGTGTATTCTGGATACTAGTCCTTTGTTGGATATGTGGTTTTCTTCAGTTTTTGGCCTTTCTTTTTATCTTGTCAACAGGGTTTCTGAGAGAGCAACAGTTTTTTTATTTTTGTAGAGTCCAATTTATCGATCTCTCCTTTTATGAATTACGTTTTGGTGTCAAATCTAATAAATCGTTGCTAGTGCTAGGTCTCAAATATTTTCTCCAATTTTTTTTCCTAAAAGTTTTGTAGTTTTATGCTTTACACTTAAGTCTGTGATCTATTTTGAGTTAATATTTGTAGAAAGTATGAGACTTACTTCAAAGTTCATGGATTTTTGTTTGTTTGTTTTGCATATGGATCTTCAACTACTCCAGTGCCATATGTTGGAAAGGCTATCTTTTTGTCATTGAATTGCTTTTGCACCTTTGTCAAAAATCAGTTAGACATTTTTGTGTAGGTCTATTTCTGAGTTCTCTATCCTGTTATATTGATCTGTATCTCTCCCTCTTCCAGTACCACACAGTCATGATAGGTGTAGCTCTATAAAACTCTTGAAATTGGGAAGACTGGTTCCCCCACTTTATTCTTTTTTCCAAATTATTTTGGCTATTCTAGTTCCTTTGCCTTTTCACATAAATTTGGGAATCATTTTGTGTATTCTACATAAAACCTTGAGGGATTTTAGTAGAAATTTTATTAAGCTTATATATCACTCTGGGGAGTATTGACATTTTTAGGGGTGTGTTTTTAAATTTCTAAATACATGGAGAGTTTCTTCTTTCTTTTTTTTTTTGAGACAGAGTCTCCCTCTGTCACCCAGGCTGGAATGCAGTGGTGTGATCTTGGCTCACTGCACCCTCTACCTCCTGGATTCAAGTGATTCTCGTGTCTCAGCCTCCCACATAGCTGGGATTCCAGGCATACACCACCACACCTGGCTAATTTTTGTATTTTTAGTAGAGACAGGGTTTCACCATGTTGGCCAGGCTGGTCTTGAACTCCTGACCTCAGGTGATTTGCCCACCTCAGCCTCTCAAAGTGCTGGGATTACAGGTGTGAGCCAGCACAGACAGCCTTTTTCTTTATTATTAACATTTCATTTAATTATAGTATCATCAGAGAATGTTATTATTATAGCAGTTATTTGAAATTTGCTGACACTTTATGGACTAGTAGGTATTTAATTTTTATAAATGTTCCACATGTGCTTGAAAAGAATGAATATTCCCTAATTGTTAGATGAGGGGTTCTATTGTGTTCTATTGTGTGATCAAAAACTAATCGTGCCAGCCTGGCCAACATAGCGAAACCCCGTCTCTACCAAAAAATACAAAAATTAGCTAAGCATGGTGGCACATGCCTGTAGTCCAGCTACTGGGAAGGCTGAGGTGGAAGAATCACTGGAACCTAGGAGGTAGAGGTTGCAGTGAGCCAAGATCGCACCATGGCACTCCAGCCTAGGTGACAGAGTGAGACTCTGCCTCCAAAAACAACGCAAAACAAAACAAAACAAATTAATTGTGTTATTCAAATCTTTTTAACCAATTTTTTGCGTACTTGTAAACCCCTGGCATATTTTTTAAATTATATAACAAACTTCTTTCTTCCTAATAATGTTTTTGTCTTAAAATCCATT